GAGCAGCGTGGTGTGGGAACATTTTGGAAGGTTGAAGACCAGACGAGCAGCTGCATTCTGGATGAGCTGCAGATGTCGGATGGCACATGCAGGTAGACCAGCCAGGAGGGAGTTGCAGTAGTCTAGGCGTGAGATGACGAGAGCCTGGACCAGAACCTGCGTTGCTTTCTGGGTCAGCTGGGGACGTATCCTCCTGATGTTGTAAAGCGTGTATCTGCAGCAACGGGTTGTAGCAGCGATGTTTGCAGTGAAGGACAGGTTGTTATCTAGGATCACACCCAGATTCCTTGCAGTCTGAGTCGGGGAAACAACAGAGGTGCCGATGTTGATTGTTAGGTCAAGAGTGGGACACTCTTTTCCCGGAAGAAAAGCAGTTCAGTCTTGTCAAGGTTGAGCTTGAGGTGGTGAGCAGACATCCACTGAGAGATGTCTGCTAGACAAGCAGAGATGCGTGCGACGACCTGGGTCTCTGAGCGGGGAAAAGGACAGAATGAATTGGGTGTCGTCAGCGTAGCAGTGGTATGAAAAACCATGCGGGCTAATGACCGATCCGAGCGAGTTTGTGTACAGAGTAGGGGTGTAACGGTATCCGTATTCGTCCCGTACCGTCACGGTTCGGCACATGCAGTCACACGGCGAATTCGCCTTTTTTAACGAGTGGGAAAAAAGTCTGTCACTCAGGGCAGTATTACACTATATATAATCCAGGGGGCGGTATTGCGCCTAAAAGCCAGCCGCCCGGAAATAACAAATGAAGAACAAGAACACAACAAAACGAACACAATATATGAAGAAGAAAAGTTAGTATCTATGGCGAGTTCACACAACACACAGGAGCTAGAAGACCCACCTGCTTCTTTAAATCAGGTGTGTGGGAACATTTCGGGTTCCCTGTGGACTACAACAATTGACGGGTGCGAGTTGTGGATCGGACTAGGACGGTGGTGTCGGCGTTGTTCGACAGCAGTGCGGTATGCTATTGGTAACACGTCAAACATGCTCAATCACATCCGAGTCAGTCTCAGTCCCCAGCGAGAGGGTTTTCTCGACGGCAGGTGACATAGTTACCGCCAACAGATCTGCCCTCACTACTGACAACGTAGACAAAACTCATCTTTTTGAAGAACAACTTGAAAATAGAGTAAAGCTTGAGTACCTTTATTTAGGCATAATGACCTCACACACTCACAAGTTAATTACACATGTTAGACATTGCTCCTAAAGGTACAGATTTTATTTAGTTTTATATTTATCATTGTATTTATTTTATATTTTGACATCAGATGTTATACAGTTCTGTATTGCCTTTTATTGATTGTGATTGAAATACTTTCTTATTATTTCTTTTAACATTTTCAAGACATTCTTTTTAGTTGTACAGCTTATTTAACTTTTTTGTTTGACATCAGCCAATATAAATAATATGGCCATCTGAGTGTGCGTGTTACTGTTTGTGGTTTGTTTTTTTGTGTGATACAGTTAATGATTCCAAATGTTAGAGTTCCTTATTTTCATACCAAAACTTGCACGACTGTTAAAAATAAATAACAGCAAAAAAAATTATGTATTTGGGACTTTTCTTTGCTTTTCCTTGTTGTACCGAAACCGTACCGAACCGTGACCCCCAAACCGAGGTATGAACCGAACCGTGACTTCTGTGAACCGTTACACCCCTAGTACAGAGAGAAGAGGAGGGAACCAAGAACAGAGCCCTGAGGGACCCCTGTAGTTAATTGACAAGGGTCGGACTCTGACCCTCTCGAAGTTACCCTGTAGGTGCGGTCTTTAGGCGCGTTCACACCGCAGTACTTTTCCCACTTTAGTTCCGATATAGTTCTGAAATGTCGCGTTCACACCAAAAAGTGCCGGAACTAAAATTAGTTCATGAGAACCTTTTTACCCCCTTTTCCGTCCCTGCTACAGAGCAGGTACTTTCGTGGGAGAAAAAGGTTCCTATGTCTGATTGGCTGGGCGGATTGCAAACCACGCCCCATAAAACTCCCAAAAAGTTTTGTGAAGCCGTCATTTTATTATCCTCGCATTAGCATTATTAGCATTACCTTTAGCCCAACGGACAAACGCAGAGAGACTAACTTATGGCAACACAAAAGAAAACATGGGAGATGAGGAGGTGTCGACGTTCTGGAGATTTACTCAACTCCGGGGACTTCCGGCCGGGGACTTCGGGTGGCAGTATGCGCCGTGAAGTTGTTTGCGGCCCAGGGACTTATTCCGGTGTGAACGCGATCTGTACTTAGTTCATGAGAACTAACTAAGTTCTGATGAACCTTTGTGGGAAAAGTACTGCGGTGTGAAAGCGCCTTTTGAGGTATGAGGTGAGGAGGGAAAGTGCAGAGCCTGAAACTCCAAATTCTTGGAGAGTGCGAAGGAGGATCTGGTGGTTCACTATGTCGAATGCAGCAGACAGGTCCAAAATGATGATGACAGAGGAGAGGGAGGCTGCTTTAGCAGTGTGCAGTTCCTCAGAGACAGCAAGGAGAGCAGTTTCTGTTGAGTGACCTGCCTTGAAACCAGACTGGTGCGGATCCAGAAGGTTGTTCTGATGGAGATAACAGGAGAGTTGTTTAAAGACAGCACGTTCAAGTGATTTAGACAGGAACGGGAGGAGAGAGACAGGCCTGTAGTTTATAACATCAGACGGGTTGAGAGTGGGTTTCTTTAGGAGAGGGTTTACTCTTGCCTCCTTGTGACTGTTTGGAAAGTGACCAGAAGTTAGAGAAGTGTTGATGAAATGGGTGAGAACGGTAGATAGAATATCAGGAGCGATAGTCTGAAGGAGGGTTTGAGGGGATAGGGTCCAGAGGACAGGTGGTAGGACGGGCAGAGGTAATGAGGGTAGAACCTCACTTGGAGAGAGAGGGGAAAAGGAGGTTAGTGTGTGGGAGGAAGGAGGGTCTGATGACCCAGCGGTGAGTAAAGGTGAGTCAGAAAAAGAAGAACGAATGTCATCAACCTTTTTTTCAAAGTGGTTAACAAAGTCGCTTGACAGAAGGAGGAGGGGGGGAAGGGGCTTTGGGGGGGTCCAAGAGGGTGGAGAAGAGATGGAAAATAGTTTTTTGGGGATTGGAATAGGAAGATTGGATCTTATCTTGAAAGAAAGTGCTTTTTCCCTGAGAGATTGAAGATGAGAAAGAGGAGAGGAGAGCCTGATAGGTTAGGAGGTCGTCATGGTGTTTGGATTTCCACCGTTTCCGCTCTGCTGCCCGAAGGATGGTTCTATTAGCACGCAGTGCGTCATTTAGCCAGGGAGCAGGAGGGGACTGACGAGCCTGCCGAGATGTGAGAGGACAGAGAGAGTCCAGAGAGGATGAGAGAGTAGAGAGTAGAGAGTAGAGTTTCTGCAGCAGAGTTTGGAGGCAGGAGTTGGAACGAGTCAGAGGAAGGGAGGGCTGAGAGAACCGATGAGGCAAGGGTAGAGGGGGGAGAGGGAACGAAGGTTACGGCGCACAGGTGCAGATGAGAAGAGATTAGTTTGTTATGTTTGGAAAGGGGTAGAGAGAATGAAATGAAGAAGTGATCGGATGTGTGAAGCGGGTTTACAGAGAGGTTAGAAGCAGAGCAGTTCCTTGAGAATATGAGATCAAGGACATTGCCAGCTTTATGAGTTGGTGGGGACGGAGACAGTGAGAAAGCAAAGGCGGTTAAAAGATATGTTAGTTCAGCTATCTTCCCTGTCTGGAGGTTGAAGTCTCCGAGAAGTACAGCGGGAGGGCCAGTTTCAGGGATGTGTGAGAGGAGATTATCTAATTCCTCCAAGAAGTCCCCCAAGGCGCCTGGTGGACGGTAGAGAACAACAAGGGTTCATTGTATAGGATGGGTTACTGTGACGGCATGGAATTCAAAGGTGGGTGCCAGTGGGTCTGGGTACTACAACTCTATATCTATCTAACACCCCTCCTCCCCCCACCCCCACAATGCATATCGACCAGTCACATTCCTGCTTGATTTGCGGGACCAGCGTTGCAGTCGGGAAGAAAAGCTGGCTGCGCTCACCGCTTCATAAGGAGTGTGACCATGATTTTCCTTCTGGCAGATTCTACACAACACATCAGCCCCATTGAACAACCTAGTCGTGCCTATACAACACATGAGGGGCAGAGTTTTACTCTGTGTGTGTTGCAACTTGCATTTATATTTATTTCACTTGACGCACACACACGCATGGTGTAATTTCCAATGGTGTAATTTCCACTGGGGACAGGGGGGACAAATCCCGTTTGTGTCCCCCCACTTTACAAATATGTTTATTATTATTTTTTACCGCAAGCCGTCATCGCCACGGAGGAGCACACAGCCTCTGTGAGCGAGCGAGACAGAGAGAGAGCGAGAGAGCTAGGGAGAGCACACCTTTATCTATTTAATATAGGTAAAGTAAAAAATAATTCCAATGTGTACTATAGGACAGTAAAAACAGTTTAAAAGGGGAGTGATTAGTAAAATATGCATAAATAGAAATAAGAATGCTAACTAGGTAACATAAGAAAAAAATCTTCCCGGGGTTGTTAGCCCCCGGACCCCCCTAGAGGATGTGAGGTCCACCCCCAAATAAAGCAGGTTAAAATAATTAAATTGCACACATTTTATTTTAGTAAGTCCCACAGACGCAAACCGCACACAAAGGTTAAAGGTTGAAATATAATAATGTTAAAATGTGCTAAATATATACCCTCCAAAAAACAAAACAAAAGAGGAGTAAAAGTAGCCCCTGACTTGTTTAATTTTTTGAAAGTAGTTCTCATCCTAAAAAAGGTTGGTGACCTCTACAATAGGGTCTTCGCTGACCACTGGTCTCAGACCCTAATAATCGGACCAATATCAATAAGCGATTAAATTGATCCTACGGATATCAAGCATGCGAGTTGCAGTCACGTGACTGGGCTCGCACGGACTAGCTGCGCGAGCGATTACAATAGGGTCTTCGCCGACCTCTGGTCTCAGACCCTAATAATAACATCAATAACAGTGCTGCTGTGTTGCAGGTTCTCTCTGCTGAAGTGTAAGCTGGCCTCCGGTGTGAGCACATTCAACAGAGGACCTGAAGGACTGGGGGCTAAAATCGTCCTCATTAACACGTGAGTCCCTTTCAAAATAAAACACCTAATCACTGTCGACCTGTAATTATTATTTATTATTTATCTATTATTTTCAAACAGATTCTGGGTTTGATCAGCACTAATGATCATTTTTAATAATATTGATATTTTTAATTTAAAAGATAAATAATTGTAATAATAATACAAAAAAAAATCATTATTTTAATTATAATATGTTGTGTGTCTCAGGCTGTACAACATGTGTGTGGAGGACGTGTGCGATGTCGACTGGGACGAGGTCGCTCATACTGTCGGGTGAGGTCATAATTTCAAACTGTCACCCACTCATACAGAGCTGGTAACCAAGGTGACCAGGTGGTAACCATGGTAACAAGGTATCTCCTTACTGTGTGTGTGTGTGTGTGTGTGTGTGTGTGTGTGTGTGTGTGTGTGTGTGTGTGTGTGTGTGTGTGTGTGTGTGTGTGTGTGTGTGTGTGTGGTGTGTGTGTGTGTGTGTGTGTGTGTGTGTGTGTGTGTGTGTGTGTGTGTGTGTGTGTGTGTGTGTGTGTGTGTGTGTGTGTGTGTGTGGTGTGTGTGTGTGTGTGTGTGTGTGTGTGTGTGTGTGTGTGTGTGTGTGTGTGTGTGTGTGTGTGTGTGTGTGTGTGTGTGTTTCAGGAACGTGACTCCTGTGTGTGTTCAGAAGAGTTTCCACAGACTGAAGGTTTCCAGAGTTCCTCACTGGAGCGGCCTGTTCTACGGAGGTACTGCTATACACCTGAGTACTACAGTAATACTACTAATATATACTAGGGAGAACTACAGTAATACTACTGATTACTACACTAATACTGCTGAGTACCGCAGTATATATCACTGTTAGATACATCTACTGCTAATACCTTCAGTCATATACTTATAACTATGGCTTTCGACAAAGAGAGGATGTTGTCAGGTGGCGTTTCCACCCTGAATCACCACGTCCCACTGCCCATCCTCCCCTGGCTTCCAGCACAACTCCTCCCGTCTGTTCCAGAGCTAACAAGAGGCTCTTTGTGCTGCCTCCCCGAACCTACGAGCAACTGTATTTAGCTCCCTTCCTGCTAGTCCCAAAGCTGTGAGCATCTTTCACACAGATTGCACCGGGAAGCCCCTGCAGCCAACTTCAACTGGATATAGCCAGGTCTGCTACCCTTTGTCCCTGCATTGATGGACCAGGTCCTGGTACTTAATGGCTTAACCCTCCTTTCCGAGGCCTCTTCGCACCTGTATTTCCAAGGGGCTGTCAGCTCAATAATGATGATCTTCCTCCATATGACCATGTCAGGCCTAATGGGTTTTACACTCCTCTTCAATGGCTGTGCGAAGTTGTTGGATGTTGGCAGGAACTGGAACACGCTGTCGTATACACTGATCAAGAGCATCCCTAACATGCTCAATGGGTGACATGTCCGGGGAGGAAGCAGGCCATGCAAGAACTGGGATGTTTTCAGCTTGAATTGTGTACAGATCCTTGCAACATGGGGTCGTTCATTATCATGCTGCAATATGAGGTGATGGTGGATGATGTATGGCACAACAACGGGCCTCAGGATCTCATCACGGTAACTCTGTGCATTCAAAATGCCATCAATAAAATGCACCTGTTTTCGTTGTCCGTAACATACCATAACCCCACACCCACCATGGGCCACTCGATTCACAATGTTGACATCAGCAAACCGCTCACCCACATGTCTGCCATCTTGCCTGTACAGTGAATACCGGGATTCACAGAGAAGAGAACACCTCTCCAAAGTTCCAGACGCCAACGAAGGTAAGCATTTGCCCACTCAAGTCAGTTACCACAACGAACTGCAGTCAGGTCAAGACCCCGGAGATGACGATAGCATGCAGATGGGCTCCCCTGATGTGGTTACATGTGGTCTGCGGTTGTGAGGCTGGTTGGATGTACTGCCAAATTCTCTGAAACGCCTTTGGAGATGGCTGATGGTAGAGAAATTAACATTAAATTCACTGGCAACAGCTCAGGTGGATATTCCTGTCGTCAGCAAATTGCTCGCTCACTCAAAACTTGCAGCATCTGTGGTGTTGTGCTGTGTGATAAAAGTAAAATTTTAGAGTGGCCTTTTACTGTGAGCAGCCTAAGGCACAGCTGTGTAATAATCATGCTGTCTGATCAGCATCTTGATATGCCACACCTGTGAGGTGGATGGATTATCTCGGCAAAGGAGAATTACTCACTAATACAGACAATACATTTGTGAATAGTAATTGAGAGAAATAGGCCTTTTGTGTACATAGAAAAAGTCTTAGGTCTTTGATTTCAGCTCTAGAAAAATGGGAGCAAAAACAAAAGAGTTGTGTTTATATTTTTGTTCTGTGTATATCACAAGTACTGCAGTATATATCAGAGTACTGAGTGTATCATCCTCTCCAGTGGTGCCAAAGAATCCTAGAGGGTGAGTGTCCAGCTTTTGATCAAGGATAACAGATAAAGTATTGAAAATGTCCTTCCAATATTTCTCTAGGCTAGAACATGTCCAAAACATGTGTGCCAGGGTGGCCTCATTTATTTTACACCTTTCACAGTATGTGCTTACATCTGGGTAGATCCGGGACAATTTAGCTTTAGACATATGAGCCCTGTGCAAAACTTTAAACTGTAGCAAACAGTGATGGGCACAGATGGATGTGGAATCAACCAGTTTGAAGATTGAAACCCATACGTCCTCAGGTATTGAAACATTTAAATCAAGCTCCCAGGCAGTTTTAATTTTGTTGAGGGGAGCATTCTTATAACTGTCAGCTTGTCATAGATAACTGAAATAAGACCACTTGGATGCAAATTAAGAAGCATCTCGGCGATGTTCGACTCGGGTGCTTCTGGGAAGCTTGAGATCTTAGAATGGAGGAAATGCCTGATTTGCAGATATCTGAAGAAATTAGTGTTCGGAAGGCTAAACCTTTCAGAAAGTTGCTCAAATGAAGCAAAGCTGTTGTTAATAAAAAAGAGCCTTAAAACATGTGATACCCCCTCTCTGCCATTCCCGAAACACAGAGTCAGATGCAGACAGTTGAAAAAGGTGGTTGGATAGAATCGGGCTCAAGAGAGAGAAACCATGAAAGCTGAAGTGTTTTCTGAACTGAGCCCACACCCTCAATGTGTATCTTGCAACCGGATTACAACCCACGTTTTTGGGAGAGAGAGGGAGTGAAAATCCGAGCAGGGCTAAGATGGAAAGTCCTTTGAAGAAACTCAACTCCATAGCCACCCAGGACGGACAATCGGCCTGATTGTGAAAATGAGACCAAAACGTAATACAACGTATGTTGGCTGCCCAATAGTAAAAAACGAAAATTAGGCAGTGACATGCCTCCACTCCTTTTAGATTTTGGAAGATGGGCTTTGTTCAAAGATTTAGCTGGGTCCGATATGAGAGTAAGTAAGAGATCATCCGCATAAAGGGACACTCTATGCTCAACCCCACTCCTCCAAATCCCAGAAATATCTTGGCTACTGCGAAGTGCGATTGCCAGTGGCTCCATAACCAGATCAAAAAGTAACAGGCTTAAGGGGCAACCTTGACCTAGTGCCTAGTTGGAGGTTGAAAGGCTTTGATTGTATTGAGTTTGTGAGGACCGAGGCCCTAGGGCAGGGCTATTCAATTAGTTTGGAATGGGGCCGGTTGATGAAAATTATCCAACGCCTTTTCCAAGGAAATAACACACTCAGGAATTGTATCAGAGGGAGAGTACAGAATAAACGACGTGTATTGAAATATGATTGGCGGTTTTTGACAAAACCAGTTTGGTCATCTGAGACAATTGTTGGCAAGATGTTCTCCAATCTTCGGGCCAGAACTTTAGCCAGAATTTGGCATCAACGTTTAATAAAGAGATAGGCCTATAGGAGGAACATTCAATCGGGACTTTACCTTTCTTTGTAATAAGAGTGATGGTTGCTTCATAAAATGATGAGGGAGGTTTGCCTTGTTTGAAAGATTCTGACAGAACTAAACTGAGTTAAGGAGAAATCAGTGAAGAGAACGTTTTGAAGAACTCTAAAGGGAACTCTAAAGGGAACCCGTCGGGTCCTGGATATTTTCCAGACTGTAGGGAGGAGATAGCTATAGCTATTTCAGCTTGCGAAATAGGCTCCTCCAGTCATATGCTATGTTCAGTAGAGATTTTGGGGATGCTTAAGTTGTTTAAGAAACCTTCCATCAAATTGTTATCATTGTGAAATTCAGAAGAGTAGAGCCTAAAATAAAAGTTCCTGAACGTGTCATTAATGGCGGTGTGGTCTGAGGTGATACTGCCATCCTCCTTTGCAATTTGAGTAATGAACTGCTTAGCCTTGTATTTTCTCAACTGATTAGCCAGCAGCTCACCAGATTTTTCCCCATGAGCATAAAACCAACTTTTGTTCTTTACAAGTTGTGGCGTTCAATTGGATGTGTCGAAAAGAGATCAAATTCAATTTGTAACTCCACCCGCTTTTTGTATACATTTGGGTCTCTGGTGTGAGCATATACCGATGATGCGTACGTTTTGTCGTCTGCTAAGACCTTCCAGCTCGTTGACTTTAGCAGTGAGCTTGGAGTTGTTATCCCGCAGGCTGTAGCAGACATCTTCCAACTCGTTAATACGCTGACTCAGGTCATCAGAAATGAGCTCCAGAGAGGATAGACGCTGTCTGTGATCCTCGACTGCAGACCGGACTTGGTCAAATGTAGTTTCAAGTGTGCTAAAAGAGGTTTTATAGTCCGCTGCTAGCGCCTCCCGATGCTGGTCCAGTAGCAAAGAGATAGCTTCAACCGTTAAGCTAGCTGTCGCCGCCGAGACGTCCTTTTTCCCGTGGTTACCGGTGTTTGAAGCCATTTGGGAGTAAATATTAGTATATAAAGGGGTAATATATGACTTGAAGCAATTTAGTAGGGCAAATGAGAGGTTAAGGGGTGAGAAGATTAAAAGTAAGCAGGAGTGCCTGAACGTTGCTTGTAGGGGTGCAACAACTAATCGACTTAATCGATTAAAATCGATTACCAAATTAGTTGCCAACTAATTCAGTCGTCGATTCGTTGGTGACGTCATCACGTGTGTTTTACGCGCCGTTAAGCTCCAACGTTATTGGTCTTTTTATCGGTACTGGAGACATTTAAAAAATATATGTCATGTATTATTGTTACATAAGTATTATATCGCAGTCTTAGTGTCGCCAACTCGTTTCTAATATGCAAAAAGACAAACGAATGCGTCTATGATATATTTTCGATCTTTCCAATCCAGAAGAGAGATCTTTCTCTCCCCCGTCTGTGTGCGAGGGGGCGGGGCAGTTTACACACACGCGGCTGCTACATGCAGCAACACACTGCGGAGATGGCGGAGAGAATGCGCTCCGAGGTGTGGTTAAACTTTACCCGTCTCGATGTGGAAAATGCTCGTTACCAAAAGTGCAATAAGAGTTTAGCATGTAAGGGCGGTAACACGAGCAATTTGTCTAAACATTTAGCATAAGTGCTCCACATCCAGACGGAGGAATGCACCGGGTTCGACTGTCTTTCTAGTAGCTCTGTAGCCCCATCCACTAGTAACGTTTCCACGTCAGGTGTTATGTATGCTAGCAGCAACACACAGAGTTAACTCAATGATACAAACATGGGTTAATGATTAGAGGTAACTGAGTTATTTAGTTTGTTAAAGTTTCAGCTATTGTGTTTACAGTTCTGTCATCAGATTATTTAATACGATTTGTTAAAAC